ATATACTACTAGACAGGGCCGGGGATTTAGCTCACTGGTTCTGCCACCTGCCTTGCAAGCAGGTCGTCTTGAGTTTGATCCCTGGTATAAAAAAAAAAAAAAAAAACGAACAAGTTAAGAAAGTCTGGCAAGGCATAGTAACACTTGACTGTAATCTTAGCTCCTTAGGAGGCTGAGGCAGGAGGATCACAAGTTCAAAGGCAGCCTGAACAATGTAGAAAGAGCCTGTCTCAAAATGAATGAGCTGGGAATGTAACACAGTGGTACAGCAGTTGCCTAGTATACACAAGCCTCTAGGTTCAAGCCCATATACTGTTAAAAAAAAAAGGGGGTCGTATGAATTCTCTTACATGCTACAGCATGATAAACCTTGAGGGAATTATGCTAGGTGAAACAAACCAGTCACAGATGAACAAAGACTACATGATTCCACTTATGTGAGGAACCAAAATCATCAGACTCTTAAGGATAGAAAACAGAATAGTGATTTTCAGGGACTGATAGAGTTAGTATTTAGTTAGTATTTAGTGGTGACAGTTTCAGTTTAAAAAGAGGGAAAGACTTAGAGATGAATGGTACTGATAATTCTGTGACATTAATACCGCTGAACTGAACACTTAAAAATGGTTGAGAACTGGTTGGGTGGCATATGCCTATAATTCCAACTGCATGGGAGGATCAAATAGGAGGGTCACAAGTTCAAGCCTGTCCTGGGCAACTCAGTGAGACCCTGTTGTAAAATAAATTTTTAAAGGGCTAGGTGTATAGATTACTGATAGAACGCTTGCTTAGTATGCACAAGCTCCTGGGTTCATTCCCCAGTACCACACACACACACACACAAGATGTCAAAATTTATGTTATGTACAACTTACCACAATAAAAAAGAGGAGTATAAAACTCAGTATATACTTGTACCAAACTCTGACTAGACAACCCTTGAGGTGTCTTCTATTCATTCAGAGACCAGAGGGACTGAAATCCATGCTCTTATAACATGGGATACATTGTATATGTTTTTAAAAGTCTATATGTATTTAAAAAATAATGCATAGTATTAAGGCCACAGATCTATAGAATAATAGTCTC